GGGGGGGGGATCAGGGAAGTGCACGAATTATGCAATGAGCTGGTGATTATTTATGAACAATTGATTGAAGGACAAAAGGAAGCGGTAATGACAAAAGGGGGTAACGACGAGTCATCATATTGACGAATTCATCACGAGGCCAAACCTTTGACAGTTTCAGGAATCCTGTAGCCATTTTTTGATTCATAGTCTGGTTTGGGGTCGGAACCGCGTTGTGATCGTGACTGGGCAAGAATGTGGATGACGTAGCCGGCAAGAAGGTCACGCAGAGCGACCTGGCAATCAGCAGTCAGGCAGACCTGCGGGCGCCGTTGAAGCAAAGTGCACAATGCGTCAATGGGGCGAGGCAGCAACAAAGGCAAGCGGGTGGCCGAATGGGCAATGCAGCAAACAGCAAGCCAAGCAAGCCAAGCAAACAGGCAGCACTACGCAGAAGATCCAGAGAGCCGCAGGTGAACGTCTTTCTTTCCTCGCCAAGTGACACAGGTATTACACACACACGGTCTGCAGGCAGCAGCAGCAAGCCAAGGAAGCAGGCAGGTACAGGGCAATGCAAGGGAACACAGCAGCAGGCAGCAGCGCTGCAATCGGGGGGAGTGGGTGGGGCAAGGCAGGAAACACGAGAGCAACGCTGCAAGGTGGTTGGACAGCATGGCATGTGAGAAGGAGAAGTAGGGAGATGGTGGGGCAAGGCACACAGCAAGGCAACATAGGAGACAGTGACGATGCAGAAGGGGCGTGAGGAAGGAGCAAAGGGGCGAAAGAAGGTAGAAAACGAAGCTAGCAGCAAGGCATGTGCAACGACGGGGAGGGACAAAGGAAGCAAGGCATGCAGCAATGCAACGCAACAGGAAGTAGTGAGGCGAACTGGTAGGCTGGTAGGGAGCAAGACGGGCGTTAGCGTAACAGATCAAGCAGCAATAAGCCAAAGCACCGCAGGTCGCATGTGGAGCAAGGATCGGAGCTAAATATCAGCTACGCATACCTTGTGCAGAGTGTTTTTTGGTTCGCACTACGCAGAAGATCCAGAGAGCCA